AATAAAAAATTCCAAAATTCGTTTCGAAATTTCTTTGTTCGTGAAATATTACGTATCGTTTTTTTTCCCTTTCTCTCTTCAAAAGGAGAACGAGATAAGTTGGGTGGGGGAAAAAAGCTTTCGCCAGGTCGAGTCCATGGAGAGATACGTACAGGTATACTCTCTTGGCGAGGGGATGAAGGATTTGTTACGTAAATGAGTTCTTGACCAAGCATAGGCGCGTTATCGAGATTGAGTAGAGCCCTCCTTCTCCCCTAATGATACCGGCCTAATTAAGTCTTGCATGATTTTAATCAACCCCCGACACGCTACGTGCCGAGCAACGTTTAAACAATGCTCCCACCGGCGAAAGATAAAAAAGGGGATTGGCCTAAATACGCCGCCACTTTCACCACCGGATAATTAGTAACGGTTTTCGCAATCGGCTTGTTCGGTCGTGGAAAAAAAAGGGGGGGAGAAAAAAAAGAAAGAATAGAAGAGAAGAATATTAATTTCTCTTTCGAATATTATTATATCTTCAAATCGACGAAGGAGGGAAAGAGAAGAAAACTTGGTAAATCGAACGAACGTTCCACTTCGTCGATGATCCCGTGACGTATTCAGAATCCTTGATACCGATCGTTATTCATACACCTACTAGGATTCGAGCTATAGAGAAAATGCGGTTTTGGCAGGGATCCAAAAAATTGGATTGGTATCTCGGTTGGCTCGCGTTCATACGTACCTACATGTGTGTTTGAATAGAAACTCGTAGAATTTCCAAAACCGTCATCCCTTCGTAAAAATGTTTTCAACTCTTTGCCACTATACTCTGTACAATCGAAACCTTCGTACTCGTCGTATCCGATATTTGTTTTTCTTTTTTGGCAAAAAAAAATCGAATATTCGTCATTTATTTTCTTCCTTTCCTAAGCCTTTCTCTTCGAAGATATTCGAAGGGCCGCAAACTGTATCCACGCGCTGCATATCGCGATAATAAAGTGAAATAAGTCCCGTGTCGTGGTTGAGAAACAAACCACACACGGTCGGAGAGGAGGGAAATGATAAGAAAGGAAATATTATTTTACGAGGAAACGAGGTTAATTGCCGCGCGATGTTTCTTTACAGTTGACACTTGCCCGTTTATTACGCGCAGCTTTAACGCACGTTCTTTCCCCCTCTTCCTCCCCTCCTAAATGCTCTTTTCTAAGTTAAAGCGCGTCGCACGGCGAACTTCCTACTCCAGCGGACATTTCCGTTGAAATCCAAAAGGCTGGTGGAACCCTTGAAACGCTTCAAGAGCGCGAAACAATCTCTTCTCGTCGAAGAGTGCCAGTCTCTACTTTTGAAAACGTACTTTTGAAAGTGGAATTTCCCGTTTGTTTACGCGAGGAGAAGGAGAAAGGGCGAGAAGTAGAAGAATTAGAATGAAAATCATCTTATAAATAGATTTTACATCAATTTCACGAGAGGGACGAGGAAAATTAAGAATAAATTTTTTTTTTCTTCTTCCAATAACGAGGCGTTAAATTCGATCGGGGAGAGAAAAAAAAAAGAAAAAAAAAAGAACAAGGACGTTGAAACGCTTCAACTTGACACTTGATATTTCCATCCATGGTATAATTTATCGGGGGGAAAAGCTGGTTCGTAATGGTTCGGGAACCATGTCAAGCCAACCCCCCCTTGTCGACTTCTGTTTTTCCCGGGTGGGTGCTCCCCCACCGAGCCTGGGACACGTTTCTTACGCCGGCTAAACGGCGCCTGAAGACCTACTTCCCGACGTTCAAGGATACTCTAACCATTAAGCCAGAGAAACCCACGCGGTACGTCTCGAACTTATCTTACGAAACGTTCACGTTCAAAATTTTTCCCCATTATTTTTCCAATTCGATTTGTACGATTTAAAGTATAATTTTTGCTTCATCATTTTTAACATTTTTTAACATTTCTTCTCTCTCTCTCTCTCTCTCTCTCTACTACTTACTTATAT